GCTGTATTTCTAAATTGAAAAGATCCTTCTGCCTGAAAGTAAAATGCTACTTGACATTTCCACAAGCCATAATTCAAGGAAACAGAAGAACAAATACTAAAGTAATTTAGAGTAACAGTATGTTAAAGGAGGATTTGTTTTTCTTCTATCTCCCTGTCAGCAGAGGTCAAAATAGGCTGAAAGTAAAATAACTAATTAATTGAGAGGTAAGAAAGTATTCAGACATTACTACGCGAGGAGCTAGACGACTTGTACAGGCCCACTTTGCTGAGGAGGCAGCTCTAAAACTGATCTTGTGACACTGAGGCCAACCACCACTCAAGGGTAAAAAACAAAAATTCAGAGGATTGCATCAGAGTGAGCTGTAGGTGCGCACTGAATCCCCCTCCCTCTACTTCTAGCCCCCAATTACATGAACCAGTTAATGAGCTTAATGTATATTCCCAAGGGTAACCATTAGAGAGACACAGCATGACAAGAATCTCATTAATAACTAAAAAGTCTGCAGGCAACAAGGCAATTGGGCAGAGAGCAAGGAGGCAACAGGAGACCAGCAAAGATGTGTGCGTTTCCTATGAGACAAGCAGAAGTTAACCCAGGAGTGGTGCAAGAGCAGAGGCCTGGCAGTGTGAGGGGACTATAACAGAAAAGCACCGTGGTGTGCACTCCCAGAGGCAGGAGCTAAGTGGAGGTGAGCCACAAGAGACCAGCCAAAGAGTTCATTCATTCAGAAATGGGCAATGCAGAGGTCCCAGAGTGGGGCCATCAAAGAACCTTCAACTGTACCCCCAGAAAAAAGAGTAAGCTTTGCACACCTGCCAAGCCTAGAGAACAACAACGCCAGAATTTTCCTTCTCCTTTTCCATCTTCCCTTCACATCCTCTAGGAATGGGAAACTATGACTAGTGAGCTAAAGGGAAGAAAAGACAGTTCTCTCTATAATGTTCCACCTGTTCAACATAAATTTTACAGAAGCACCAATTAAAGCATGGTGGGAATTTTATAAAAGAATTGTTTTCTTGTCTGTTCTAAGTAAGCCCTATTTCTTTCCTTACTTGGAATAGATAATAAATTGAAAGTATAAATTTATTTTTATTATACTTTAAGTAGTAGATTCTAAGATCTATGTCCACAAAAATTCTGCTTTGGGGACCGGCCCATGGCTCACTTGGGAGACTGTGGTACTGATAACACCAAGGCCAAGGGTTTGGACCCCTACATAGGGATGGCCGGCTGGCTCACTTGGGAGAGTGTGGTGCTGACAACATCAAGTCAAGGCTTAAGATCCCCTTACTCATCATCTTTAAAAAAAAAAAAAAAAATCTGCTTTGGAATTGTATATGCATATTGGGAGGAGTGGTTCTTTTTACAAACATTTAGAAGTTCTTTACTAAATTAATAATTAATTACCTTACAAAACAGAAAACGTTAGACCCAGATAGTTTCACTGAGGAATTGTACCAAAAATTTAAGGAACAAATGATACTAATTCCCTACAATCTGTTCCAGAAAATGGAAGCAGGGTAACGCTTTGTAACTCATTGTATAAAGCCAGTATTACCCTTATACCAAAATCACACAAAGATATTTCACAAAGAGAAAACTATAGAGCAATATCTCTCATGAGCATACATGCAAAATTCTACAACAAAATATTAGCAAATCAACCCCAACAGTGTATAAAAAGAATTATACACCATGACCAAGTGGAACATTCCAGGTATGCAAGACTGGTTCAACATTTTAAAATCAATTAAAATAATTCATCACATCAACAAGTTAAAGGCCAACCACTTCTTTAGCTTTCTCAATCTAAGGGAGAAAAATCACATGATCAAATCAATAGGTACAGAAAAGACATTTGACAAAATCTGACACCCATTTATGATAACTCAGAAAACTGAGACTAGAAGGGAGCTTCCTCAACTTAATAAAGAACGGCTACAGAAGACCTACAGCTAACATTATACTTAATGATGAAAAACCAATGTGTTACCCCACAATCAGGAACGTGGAAAGGATGTTCCCTCTGTGGTTCAACATCGTACTAGAAGTCCTAGCTGATGTGAAAGAAAGAAAAGGAAGGAAGGAAGGAAGGAAGGAAGGAAGGAAGGAAGGAAGGAAGGAAGGAAGGGAGGGTACGTAGATTGGGAAGGAAGAAATAAAACGGTCTTTGCTTGAAGATGACATGATTGTCTATGTAGAAAATCCCAAAGAATCAACAACAACAAAAAATCCTCATGGAACTAATAAGCAATTATAGCAAGGTTTCAGAATACAGGGTTAACAAATAAATATCAATTTCTTTCTAATATTCCAGCAATAAGCAATTGGAATTTGAAATTTAAAACACACCATTTACATTTGCACCAAAAATTGAAACACGTAGGTATAACTAACAAAATATATACAAGATCTATAGAAAGAAAACTACAAAACACTGATGAAAGAAATCAAAGAAGATCTAAATAATTGAAGAGATAATTTATATACAGGGGTAGGAAGTCTCAACATTCTTAAGATGTCAGTTTTGCCCAACCTGATCTGTAGATTCCACACAATCCCAACCATAATTCTAGCAAGTTACTTTGGATATCAACAAACTGGCTAAAGTTTAGGTGAAAAGGAAAAAGACCAAAAAGAGCCAACAGAATATTGAAAAAGAGCAAAGTCAGAGGACTGACAGTACCTGTCTTCAAGACTTACTATAAAGCGACAGTAATCAAGATAGCGTGGCAGTGGTGAAAGAATAGACAGATTAATGAAAGAGAATAGAAAACCCAGTAATAAGCCCACACAAATATAGTCAATGATTATTCACAATTGCATCATTCATAATTGCCAAAACATGAAAGCAGTCAAGATGTCCTTCAGTGGTAAATGGATAAACAAATTACGGTACATCCACACCATGGAATATATTCAGTGATAAAAAGGAATGAGCTATCAAGTCATGGAAAGACACTGAGGAACCATAAATCCACATTGCTAAGTGAAAGCAGCTAATCTGAGAAGGCTGTTTGATTCCAACTATATGACCTTCTGAAACACACAAAACTATGAAGACTGTGAAAATATCAGTGGTTGCCTGGATTCAGGGGGAGGTGGGGAAAGAAGAAAAAGTGGAGCACAGGCCGTTTTTAGAGCAGTGGAACTATTCTGTTATGATACTGTAATGATGAATACACAACATTATCCTTTTTCAAAACCCATAGAACTGTACAACACGAAAAGTGAACCTCATGTGAACTATGGACTTTAGTTAATAGTAAAGTATCGACATTGGTTCATCAATTGTAAAAAATGCACCACACTAATGCAAGACAACGTGTGTGCAGTAGAGGTGGGGGTTATATAGAAACTCTGTACTTTCTGTGCAATTTTTCTGTAAACCTAAAAAAAGTAATATATGCACATGCTAAAAAAAATCCCAATTAAATCAGAAAATACAATAAATAAAATTACCCTCTGAAAATAAAATATGTGTTTAGCAGGGAAGGTAAAATTATGAGAGCATGGGTTAGCAAGAATATGTGAAACAAAAGAAATAACTAAACTGCCTGGTATTAGAGAGTAAGTGGAATGTATCAAAGGGATCTAGTAGATTGACAAGAAGAGAAGAAATGCTGAACAACATGGAAAGGCTGGAAGCCTTAAGGAGAGTGATGTCTAGCATTCAAAACTAAGCTCTTTGAACTTCTATCATATAAACCCCTACGCATTTTACCAAAACCAGGAGTAAAGTCTGACACACACTTTGAGACAGATACATACATACATACACACATATACATACAAACACACATACATACATACATACATACATTGTTTTTGATGAAAGGAGTTAATTTCCACAATTAGGTTGATGATGGAGTAGAAATAAAAGACTAGATGACACTGAATAGAAATCAAGAATTCAGTGAGGACAAGAAATAAGAACCTGATATGACCTTGAGAAATAAGCCCTGCCCGACCCACATATCTTCTAAACCCCCAAATTTTAGAGATATCCATTTTTTAGAGGTAGCCATTGGACATTTCACAGAGCACAGAAGGAAGTTTGGGCCAATCTTATCTATGTCTTATCTAGACTCCAGTTGACATCTAGATAATATTTAAAATTACTTACTGGCATGTTGAATCATCTTTGTTTTTCATATTAAGCAGAGAATGTTTCGTTGGGTCTAAATGTGATTCTTCCTTAGAAAATAAAGGAATTACTCTCAAGCTTCCCACTTGGATCTCACTTTCGATTAAATTAGTATCTCTTTTGGGAGGAGAAAGACAGTTTTCAATATGCCAATGCTTTGCCTGAAAAACAAAGTCTATTTTATTTTTATAAAATTTATGTTCATCAAATATGTGCTTTACCATGTGTTTTCCATGTGCTAGATTACTAACTGAAGTCCTGAGGNAGGAAAAAGACCAAAAAGAGCCAACAGAATATTGAAAAAGAGCAAAGTCAGAGGACTGACACTACCTGTCTTCAAGACTTACTATAAAGTGACAGTAATCAAGATAGCGTGGCAGTGGTGAAAGAATAGACAGATTAATGAAAGAGAATAGAAAACCCAGTAATAAGCCCACACAAATATAGTCAATGATTATTCACAATTGCATCATTCATAATTGCCAAAACATGAAAGCAGTCAAGATGTCCTTCAGTGGTAAATGGATAAACAAATTACGGTACATCCACACCATGGAATATATTCAGTGATAAAAAGGAATGAGCTATCAAGTCATGGAAAGACACTGAGGAACCATAAATCCACATTGCTAAGTGAAAGCAGCTAATCTGAGAAGGCTGTTTGATTCCAACTATATGACCTTCTGAAACACACAAAACTATGAAGACTGTGAAAATATCAGTGGTTGCCTGGATTCAGGGGGAGGTGGGGAAAGAAGAAAAAGTGGAGCACAGGCCGTTTTTAGAGCAGTGGAACTATTCTGTTATGATACTGTAATGATGAATACACAACATTATCCTTTTTCAAAACCCATAGAACTGTACAACACGAAAAGTGAACCTCATGTGAACTATGGACTTTAGTTAATAGTAAAGTATCGACATTGGTTCATCAATTGTAAAAAATGCACCACACTAATGCAAGACAACGTGTGTGCAGTAGAGGTGGGGGTTATATAGAAACTCTGTACTTTCTGTGCAATTTTTCTGTAAACCTAAAAAAAGTAATATATGCACATGCTAAAAAAAAATCCCAATTAAATCAGAAAATACAATAAATAAAATTACCCTCTGAAAATAAAATATGTGTTTAGCAGGGAAGGTAAAATTATGAGAGCATGGGTTAGCAAGAATACGTGAAACAAAAGAAATAACTAAACTGCCTGGTATTAGAGAGTAAGTGGAATGTATCGATGGGATCTAGTAGATTGACAAGAAGAGAAGAAATGCTGAACAACATGGAAAGGCCGGAAGCCTTAAGGAGAGTGATGTCTAGCATTCAAAATTAAGCTCTTTGAACTTCTATCATATAAACCCTTGTGCATTTTACCAAAACCAGGAGTAAAGTCTGACACACACTTTGAGACAGATACATACATACATACATACACACATATACATACAAACACACATACACACATACATACATACATACATTTTTTTTTTGTTTTTTTGTTTTTGTCTTTTTGTCTTTTTTCGTGTCCGGCAACGGATCACAACCCTCAGTGTCGCACCCGTACCGGACCAGACCGGCAACGGGATCGCAACCCTCGGTGTTGCCCCTGCACCTCGCTCAGCCAGTGGGAACCGGTCTGTATGTGGGATCCGAACCCTCGGCAGGAGCGCCGCCACACTCCCAAGCGGCGCACTGCTACAGTGCGCCACCGGGCTGGCCCCATACATACATTGTTTTTGACGAAAGGAGTTAATTTCCACAATTAGGTTGATGATGGAGTAGAAATAAAAGACTAGCTGACACTGAATAGAAATCAAGAATTCAGTGAGGACAAGAAATAAGAACCTGATATGACCTTGAGAACTAAGCCCTGCCTGACCCACATATCTACTAAACCCCCAAATTTTAGAGATATCTTGAGGTAGACATTGGACATTTCACAGAGCACAGAAGGAAGTTTGGGCCAATCTTATCTATGTCTTATCTAGACTCCAGTCGACATCTAGATAATATTTAAAATTACTCACTTGCATGTTGAATCATCTTTGTTTTTCATATTAAGCAGAGAATGTTTCCTTGGGTCTAAATGTAATTCTCCTTAGAAAATAAAGGAATTACTCTCAAGCTTCCCACTTGAATCTCACTTTTGATTAAATTAGTATCTCTTTTGGGAGGAGAAACACAGTTTTCAATATGCCAATGCTTTGCCTGAAAAAACAAAGTCTATTTTATTTTTATAAAATTTATGTTAATCAAATATGTGCTTTACCATGTGTTTTCCATGTGCTAGATTACTAACTGAAGTCCTGAGGACACACATAAAAAATTGATTAAGACATGGTTCTTGTCTACAAGGAGCTTATAATCTATAGGGAAGATGAAATATATTCATGTAACTTTAATAAAGGTAGAAAATGAGAAGTGTCATAAGGAAGAGACAAAAATTCCCTGAAGAGATCATAATGAACTACAAATGAAAACTGTCATTTCCACTTTTAAATCCTCAATAACAAATGTATATTTACTAAAAACAAAGCCAAAGCTTTTATTGAAGAACTGCCAGAATTAATTTTTCCTACAACTACTTTTTTTGCATCTTTACTAAAAAAAGCCCTCAAAAGCCAGTCAATTACTGAACTTGTTTCCCAGAAAACGTATGTGTTATATGATAGTTTGATTTTGGCTATAATTCTTAATATACATCCATCTAGCAAAAGCTCCCCATTGATATTCTATTTTACATTTTAAATAAAGAATTGATTTCCTTGTCTTATTTCAATTTACATCCTATACAGAGGAATGTAACAGAGAACACAGACTATGCAATACGAGGGGAACATTAGGCATCCCAAGTATATTTGACTGGCCTGAAACTGATCAGCCTTGTTCTAAGGGTTTGCAAAGTGAAGTGCCTACAGAGGCCAGGCAGATAGTGTCAATAAATGCATTGAATGACATATAAGATAATAAGTGGATAATAAATAGCAAACAAAATTCAGCCTCAGTGTTCATAGGCAATAGGGAAAGGTGGGTATTAACACTAAATTAAAGAGAACCCAATTTACGTAATGGGGGCAGTAGTTATTCTTAGAGAATGACAATGTTCTTTTTCAAGAGAAGAAACAAATATTGATTTTTATATGAAATATTTTAATGTTTAAATATGGGAAACTAAATAAAATTTTAAACATTTGGTGAATAGGTACAATCAAAGTCACTGGCCACTAAATCAATTGGATGAGGTGAGTACCAGTGCATGAAGTCTGCTCAGCACAACAGTAGTTAGTGCTCTAAGGGGGGCACTAAAGAATCTCTGGCATCATCTAATTTCTTCTTATCCCACAATCATACAACAGTTTTCTGGGATAAATGAATATCAGTGAATAAATCATTCTCACCCCTATTTCTCCAACTCTAGAAATAGACATACCACACCACTTACTTCTAAACATTTAACCTGAAAGCCAGCCTGAGATCAATAGCTATATTATAAAAGGGATTCAAAGTTACTTAAAAACTTCTTTCATTAAGTGAATGGAATTGCATTGCACTAAATATTAAATACTTTAATTACACTTCATGTGATTAGAAAATTAAGTGTTAATGTCAGAAGTTAAAATACATTACTGCTTCTCCTCCTGATTTTGTAACTGCTAGACCAGTATTAATTCAACTAAAAGACAAATGCATCATTCAAATGCGGGGCAAAAGTCACTATGTTGTACAAATTAAATTTGTTCAGAAAAGTTGTTCTGATCCTAGTTATACTTACTAATTGGGCCCCTCCCCCTTGTTAACTCTGTATTTTCCTCTGCCTTCCATAACTTTCTATTCCTTCTGTAAGAGGAGTTCTCTTCTTACACACCATAGCAGGACATTCACTGTTGCTATTTTCGAGTATCTGCTCATTCATTCTCTCCCTTCCCTTCTCTTCCCTTCATTTCATTCCATTTCCTTTCCTTTCCTTCCAGTCTCCTCTCTTTCCTATGCTCCTTGGGACTAGCAGCATCCATATTCAAAATGGCTTGATAAAAGTGAATCCTAAAAAAAAAAAAGAAAAATCAACCAGAAGGGACTAGAAAAGCCAGCTGTCCTCAGCTTTGCCAGCCTTTAGTTTCTAAAACTGACCCAGATCCAGTCATTCTTTTTCTCTCTTAACAGAAGGAGAAAAGAATAAAACTATCCTCATGCAGGCTTTTGGGAGCTGAAGTCCTTCAGAAAAAAGAAAAAAAAAGACCACAAAAACAATTGATGAAAAATATCAAAGTTATAGAAATGAATAGTTTTACTAGCACACACTTCTCAATCAAAATAAAATTTAGCTACAGATTGTGTTTGGCAGGCACAGTTTATATGGCACACATACCTAGAATGGTCTTATTTCTTGCTTTATCCTCATCCAAGGGACTTATACTCCAGATGTCACCCGCTTGATAACACTTTGTTTTTTCACCTATTCAATTTCTGCCTCATCTAAGCAGAATCCATGTGGCCCTAGAGCAATGTCAGTATTGTACTGGCCTCTTCAATTGCCAGAAGCAGGCTTCCAACTTCTCCCCAATTCAGACTGCCAGGGATTCTCCATCCTGTGTGATCTACCACGTACCTACCCACACACGTTTGAGTCCCCGCTCAGCTGTGGTATTTCTTACTGGGAAAAGTCTAGCATTTGCCTCATTTACAGAGTGGAAGAGACTTATACAGCTCTTGAGTGCCATATTGAGACTCCCACATCACCCAGCCAAACATGGGTCCTCCTCCCCAGATTATTTTTTGATTTACCATCACCCTCTATGTCCTAAAGGATTGCATAAAATTCTTTCAGCATGGTTGNTTTGATTTACCATCACCCTCTATGTCCTAAAGGATTGCATAAAATTCTTTCAGCATGGTTGACTTCACAAATATAGCAAAAACAAACTTTGTTTTCAACACTAAGGAAAATCACTATACTCTCATGGCATGAGACTGGCACCTGACATTACTGAAAAGAACCAAGTCAACTCGCCAAACAGAAATTGAGGCTTAAACTCACCCCTGTGTTTGGACAGTGCTGGTGGAAGCCAATCAGATATATTTGGTCCCACAAAGCACAAAGGGAACAGGAGGAGAGTCCCCATAAAAATGAGAACAAAAAAAAACAGAAAATGTGAGACAACGTATGTTACATTTCTTCCATGCACCCACTTCATTTTATTTCATGGGCAGGTTCAAGTCAGAGCTTAGTTTCATGGGAGGAAGGGGTTAAAAGCATGATCTCTGAAGGACCTGGCTTGAGTTAAAAAGCCAAATTCCACCAATTATTAGCTCTTGTAAGCTCAGGCAATTTACTCAAACTCTGTGCCTGTGTTTCCTCATCTGTAAAATGGAAATAATGAGAGTTCTTCCCTCATGGAGTGGGCAATTGTAAAGATTAAATTAGATAATTTATGTAAAGATCTTAGAACAGGGCACAGAGTGCACAGGAAAAACTCAGAAAATGTTTGCTGTTTTTAGTTATTTGGCAGGAGTAAATCAGACAATTTGTTCATTCTAAAATTTTCTATATTTAATTATCATCTTGATTCTTACTTGACAGTCAGTCACCTTTCTGTTTAATAACATTTAATTTTGTCCACATTGTATTTTTACTAAATTTTGAAACTGAAAAAAAATTCATTTATTTTAGAGAAATTGATCTCAGAAATCCTGAAATGATTTNGAAACTGAAAAAAAATTCATTTATTTTAGAGAAATTGATCTCAGAAATCCTGAAATGATTTGAGCTGCACAGAGCCACCATCTTTCCATGTCTCTGGTGTCCTCCACTTGATGGAACTGTCACGGTTAATGGTAAACATACCAAGTGATGCCTGGAGCTACAGTTCAGAAATGTAAGTCAGTTCTTTCATAACTAATGATCACTAAACACCACTGAGATTCAAATGGAAGTCAGCCCAAATTTATACTAAAAGTCAAGTAAATAGTAGAATAACAAAGAAGCAATATTTCTACCTGACCAAAGATCCATACAGGAGCATTGCAGACACCAGTCACACAAATGCTGCAGTCTGCAGTGGAGGAGATAATCAGTAAGTGGCCACCTGGCTCACACATCTCTAATGAAGTTATGCAGTCCTCATGAGGTTGGAGTGATCTTACCAGAGTCGGGGCCTGTGTGATTTTGTCCTTATTGGAATTAAGAGAGTACTCCTGAATAAAAAGAAATACCCATTTGGATCTAAAAAATCCAAATGTTAAATGATTACAGTAACATCATACTTTAAAAAAATTAAAAAGCTTGCTATGGAAATAGAAAAAGGTACATGTGGGAACAAAAATCTGTGATCCAAATGCAAAAAAAAGTTTGTGATACCAGAGGTTAGAAAAATGGTATTAACATTAAAAAAATAAAAATTTTTCTAGCTGATTTGATTGACTTGGGAAGTGGAAAGAAAGGGAGGGGAGAAGAGGAGAGAAAAAGAATTAAGAGTAAAATCAGTTATTTGATAGAGATAAACTTTACCATGTATTATACAATTTTATAATATTATTAGAAAATTGTTTAGATAATCAGTGATACAAAAATCCCAAACTAACTCAGGATGGCAATAGTGTTAGAGGAAAGGACA